CCTGCCAAATCCAGCCTAAAAAGAATGGAAGAGGTGACTGCTTCTTCAAATGCACAGACATCAATGTAAAGCTACAAAGATAATGAAAAATCAGAGAAGCATGATGCCATCAAAGGAACAAAATAAAGCCCCAGGAACTGAGCCTAATGAAATGAAGATCTATGATCTGCTTGACAAATAATTCAAAATAATAGTGTTTGTTTATTTATTTATGTATTGATTTGAGATGGAGTCTTGCTCTATTACGCAGGCTGGAGTGCAATGGCGCAATCTCAGCTCACTGCAAGCTCCACCTCCTGGGTTCAAGTGATTTTCCTGCCTCAGCCTCCTGAGTAGCTGGGATACAGGTGCCCACGACCACACCCAGCTTATTTTTGTATTTTTAGCAGAGACAGGGTTTCATCATGTTGGTCAGGCTGGTCTCGAAATCCTGACCTCGGGTGACCCACCTGCCTCAGCCTCCCAAAGTGCTGGGATTACAGGTATAAGCCACCATGCCTGGCCCAAAATAATAGTTTTAAATAATTTCAGTGAATGACAAGAGAACACAGATAGACAACTAAGCAAAATTAGGAAAGCAACACATGAATAAAATGAGAAGTTCGACAAAGAGATAGAAACCACAAAAAAGAACCGAACAGAATTTCTGGAGCTGAAGAACACAGTCACTGAACTGAAAAATTCAGTAGAGAGCTTCACCAACCTACCCAATCAAGCAGAAGAATGAATCAACAAGCTCAAAGACAGGTCATTTGAAGTTAGTGAGTCAGAGGAATGAAAGAAAAAGAAAAAAAAAGAGTAGCAAAAACTGTGGGATTTTTACAGGACACCATAAGCAAACCAATATACGCATCATAGGAGTTTTAGAAGGGAAAGAGAATATGTATGAAAGATTTATTGAAAGAAATAATGGCTGAAAATTTTCCAAATGTGGGGAGGAAAATGGACATCCAGCTTCATAAAACCCAAAGACCCTAAATAGTTGAAACTAGAGCAGTCTTCGCTGAGATACATTGTAATTAAATTGTCAAAAGTCAAAGACAAAAAGATAATTTTGAAAGTAGTAAGAGAAAAATGATTCATTACTGTCAAGGGAACTTTCCTCTTCACTGACCAAGACTAGTAACAGATTTCTCAGCAGAAACTTTGCAAGCTAGAAAGAGTGGGATGATATACTCCAAGTGTGCAAAGTTTTTACTTTGCTCCAAGCAAAAGTTTTTACTTTGCCACCAACCAAAAAGGTCTGTATTTGGCAAAATTGTCTTTTAAAAATAAAGGAAAGATAAATACTTTCTCAGACAAACAAAAGCTGAGGGAGTTACCACTAGCCCTGCCTTATAAATGCTAAAAGGAGTTCTTCAAAGTGAAACAAGAGGTTGCGAAACAGCAACATGAAAGCATAGAAAAATATAAATTTTACTGGTAAAGATAAATATATAGACAAATGCAGAATAATATATTGTATTGGTAATATGTAAATCACTTTTAACTCTAGTATAAAAGTTAAGAGACAAAAGTATGAGGAATAACCTATGATCATAAAATTGGTTAATGGATACACAATATAAAAAGAAGTGAATCCTGACATAAAGTTTTGGGGAGAAGGAGTACAAGTAAAGAGTTTTTGCATGTGATTGAAGTTATCAGCTCAAAATAGAACAGTATAACTCTAAAAAGTGTTGGTTATACAAGGTGAATAAGTCCAAGAGATCTACTGTACAGCATAGTGCCCATAGTTAAAAACATTGTATTGTATACTTAAAAACTTGCTCAGCAAGTAGATCATATGTTAAGTGTTCTTATCACATAATAAATAAATAAATAATAAATCAAGAGGGTAGAAGGAAACTTTTGGAGATGATGGATAGGTTTATCGCATAGATTATGGTGACTGTTTCACTGGTGTGTACATATCTCCAAATTCATTAAGTTGTATAGATTAAATGTGTATAGCTTTTTGTATGACAATGATTCCTCAATTAGACTGGGTTAAAAATGTAAGCACACACATAAAACAAACAAACAAAACAAAAAGGAAATCTTGGTACTTAGGGAACAAGACGGGGACTCTGAGTTTGGATAGATAGTGATCTCTTGACTCTTAAGCCTGGAGAGAGGACAAATGCCAAGGTGACTCTCAAGGATTTCCAACAAAAAGGAGACCACATGGTTTCCTTAGGAAATGTTGAAAGTCAGCCGGTCCAACCCTTGCTTGTACAGTTGAGAACACTGGGGACCAGAGAGGGTAGGTGACTTGTGCCAGGCTGCATGAGTCAGCAAAGCCACGATGAGCATTTGGGGCACCTGCCTTGGCACTTGTCTCACTGTGCTACCGCTTATCTTTGTTGCAGAGACAACTTTAACCTACCAGAAAATGTGGAGGCGTTCTTGACTCTTCCCCTTGTCTCACATCTCAAATCCAGTAAGTCAAGAAATCTAGTTGACTCTTTCCTCAAATTCTATCCATAGCTGGCCACCTCTCACGCCCTCCAGGGATTCTCATGCCCTCTTCCCTGGCAGGAGCCTCTGCCATCTCCTAGGATTGACCCTTCTCCCTCCTTTCACTGCCATGTCGCCTACAGTCTGTTTCCCAGGCAGCTGTCAGAGTGATCATTTAAACAAGTCAGGTCATGTCAGTCCTGTGCGCAAAACCTTCCAAGGCTCTACATGGCACTCTGTGTGGGAGCAGATGTCCTTACAACAGCTCACTGGCCTTCCATGACCTGTGTGGAGACCCCTCATCGCTGTATCTCTCTGACCATGCCTATACTCACTCCCTCACTCTCATTGCAAAAACCACACCAGCCTCCTTGCTCTTGGTGGGAACACCAGGCCTGTTTGTTCCCACTGTGGGTCTTTGCGCAAGCTCCTTCCTCGGCACATGTGGCTTGCCCTTACCCCCTTAAAACCTTTGTCCAAACGTCCCCTTCTCAGTGGAGCTTACTCTAACCACAGTTGAAACTGTACCCACTCTTTCTCCCAGCTCTCCTGACTCCCCTTAACCTGTTTCTTTCTTCTTTCTGTAACACTTATCACCATCTAAAATATAATTTATTTATCTAAGTTTACCATTCACCTCTCCCACTGTAATGTGAACCCACAGAAATATGTGTTTTTTGTCTATTTTGTTTACTGGTATATTCCCAGCTCATCTAAAGGTGGCTGTCATATAGTGGGTGCTCAGTAAATGCTGGTTGACTGAAAGAAACAAATAGAGACCAGCACGAAACAGGCCCTTCCAGAATATCAGCTTTGAATTCCAGTTTCTGTTTTGCTTCCCTTGTTTAGTGTGTCCACCATGGAGAAGCCCTCTCACCTTCAGACACACTCAACTCTTCCCCATGGGTTAGGGTTAGTGTGGGAATTGTCCTTCCGTGGCCAGCAAGCGGTGAGGTAGCCACATGGTCAAAAGAACAAATGGCTGGAGGACGTTGTTTCTTGACAGAGTTCAATTTATAGGGCGCCTCCCCAGGCCTCCTCTGCTGTTTTGGTTCCCCTTGGAGCTCTGTGCTGCAGATGCAGAAACAAGGCCCCCATCTCAGACTGATGCTTCCCGGGGCTGGGCCGGAAGCTGCTCCCTCTGTGTCCATCCTTACACTCTACTCCTAGCATGTGACTCTGTCCTCTGCGTCTTTCTCTTGTGAGGAATGTGTGCATGCATGCATGTGTGTGTATGTAGATGTGTATGCGTGTGCATGTGTGTGAGAGAAAGGGACCAGAAAGACTCCTACTCTCTCCTGAGCTGTTTGGCTCTTTTCTTGTGCCCCTTCCCGAAGCCTGTTTCTCTGAGAGAGAGTTCCGGAAGATTATTTTTTATTCTTGTCTTCACGCACAGAGAGCTCTACTCAAGGGCCTGGGGCTGAGGCGGTTTGCCATAATTGCCTCCAGACTGCTGCTGTGCTGTATAAAAAGGTAGGCACTTTCCCCATTAAGTCCCATTTCCATCCTGTTCTTGGTGTGACACAGAAAGTGCCCTATAGGATGGGGTGGGAGGCAGGGGTGGGCAGTCCCTGGCCGAGGGCCCTGCTTTGTGAAGGATCTCATGCACTGCTTAATTTCTCTAGGAATTAGGGTTATGCTGTGCCTGGAGACTCTGCACCCCTGCCTCTGTTCTCCCTAAAGATGTTGCCATCCTCTGGGATGTGGCTTCGGTCTTGCCTCCTCTGTGACCCTCTGGCCAGCTATAAGTGACCTTCCTAGGAAGGCTAAGAACATGGTATCTGTGCCCCTTACCTGGTCATCTTTCCTTCTCTGGCTTTGACTCTTCCCTGCCTCTGTCTCTCCAGTGAGGTCAGGTTCTTCAGAGGCAAACTGTCCACCTAGCTTTATTTCCCCCAGCCTGTAGTTGAGGGCCTGTTCTGGTGGGACCTTGTCTGCCAAATGAAGGCATCTGCTCTAGGCCGGCTCCTGAGGCCAGTGACTGGGCCTGGCACATAGTGGAGGGTCAGTTAGTGTTTGTGGACTAGATAAAGATGCTCTGCAGATATTGGCCACTCCCTCCTAAACACACCTGGTATGTACTAGTTGCTAGAGGGGATATAAAGGTGTATAGACATGACTTCTGCCTTCAAGGGGGGGCAACACAAAGTCCAAAGGCTACCCTATAAGACGAATTGTAGCTAACAGCAATCATAGGGAAAGGCTTGAAGGGTTTGCCCCACAAGTGCCTAATCTGAAAGGATGGGCTGGGTGGGACTTTCGTGGGACATAGGACCCTTGGAGTTTCAAGAATGTGCTGGCCCAAGCCTTGACTTGCCTGGTGGGATGAAGATTCCTGGTCCTCTCACAGGTTGGAGGGGAATTAGGGGCTTGATAGACGTGTCTAGGCCTGTGAGGTTGGAATGGCAGGGGCAGGTTTGTTGGGATGCAGGGTCTCTTTGATATGCCTATTAAAAGAGGCAGGTTTCAGTTTCCCTCACGGTCTGCCTAGCGGGAGATTCCCATGCTCATAAATGGCATTAATAACGTTCTCTGCCTTTTACGTTGTCAGGAGGCCTGTCCCCTGCCCAATAAAAGGCGGAAGCGATAACAGGCCTCCAGTGTGAGACCGTGTCATCCTTCAATCCTCAGACCAGGGGACTGTCCCGCAGAGCAGAGGCATGGCGAGCCAATCCTACCGCATCAGCTCTGGCTGCAGGATCAAGAACTTTAGCTCCCGCTCTGCCATTGTGTCCAAGCCTGGGGATCACAGCTGTGTCAGTGCCACGGCCCATCATGGGGGCAGTCCTGGGGGGCTAGGCTACAGGCGCCTGGGAGGCTTTGGTAGTCAGATCCTGTGTGCGGTGTGGTCTCCCCGGATCGCGGTGAGTTGTAGATGGCCCTACACAGCAGAGTCAGGTTTGGCTACCTGGCAGGGGACCTTTGTAAGCTCAGCCAGCCCCACATCACATCTGTCACCATCAACGAGAGCCTCCTCATACCCTTCAACCTAGAGATCGACCCCAGTGCCCAGTGTGTGAAGCACGAGGAGAAGGAGCAGATCAAGTGTCTCAACAACAAGTTTGCTGCCTTCATTGACAAGGTGGGTCTGTGTGTTGTTTCCTGGGACTGTGGCTTAGGAAGGGGAAAGGGACTTGGAACCTGACGAGGGGGGGGTTCAAATTCTCCTGCCACTGACTAGCATGTGGCCTTGAGAACATGGCTGAATCAGGGTCTTTCAAATGTTGCCATGTGAGTCAAATGCAGTAATGAATCTGAAACTACCAGACAGAACAGGAGGGTTTGCTGCTGCTGCTCACAGGCAAGCAGCAAGCATGATGTGTGTGCGCCGTCCATCTTCCTGATGTCACCGGCACACAGTAGGAAGGTGTGGGCAGAGCAGGCAGTTCTGCTTAGGCATGTCTCACCTCCCCCTTAGAGAAGATGCTGCCATCCCTAGCATGGAGCAGGAGCCAGGATGCAGAGAGGTGAGAGGATCCTTTCCTGCTCCTCCGATAGGAAGGCTGTGAACCCTTAAAACTTCTGTCCTAGGCACTTTATACCCTGAAGCACATGGATAGATTAAAGGCAGTGAGTGAGAAACTTAAAGCATGGTCCGGAGACAGGCTGTTGAATTGCACTTTTCTGATGCTGCAGTTTCGGAGTCCTCCTGGTTGTGTATAGCTCTGGTTTCCTTTAACCTAATGATGCCCTCCCTAGGAGCTCACAGTCTTTGGGGGAGGGCAGCCACCAAAGTTTAAAGGAGGAGAAGCTCATCTTCCAGGGCTGAATGGTGTGCCTATCTACATCCTGGGACTGCATAAGAAGGCACAAACCAGGGCGATGGTGGTTGGAAGTTCTGCTCTCAGATCAATGCTACATCAGAAAAGGGCATATCTGCACACAGAGGTACTGGGCGTCCATTGTTAACATACCGCTGGCTGTCCAGATTACTCTTCCCTTCCATCGGCACAAAGAAACTGACCATAGAGTTAGGCAGGTTATTCATTGCACAAGGACACCTAGCAAGAGCAGGGGAGGTTGGAATCCAGCCCAGGCTTTGCTGGCAGAACCGTGCGCCCTGGCAAGGGGCTGGAGGCATCTTTTCCTAATTTGCTCAAAAGCACAGGGAGAGCCCTGAGAGTGCAGGCTCAAAGGGGTCTCTGCATGTGGCCTTTTGGGCATAACCCATGAATGCTGCTCTCTCTGTTGAGAGGCGTCAGTTCTGGGTCTGGAGAGAGGAACTTATACCACTGCACCAGGCTGGCTTTCCCCTCCCTTGGTGTTGCTGATGGCCACCCTCTTCCCTTCAGCCTTCTTCCCGCAGGTTCCAAACTGCACTGTGCTCCAGACTGCAAAGTGCATTGATATGGTGGGTTTAATCCTGCCAGAGGGCTGTCCCATGACCTGGGTCTGCATGTTAAAACCCAAGGCAGATGCCTTTTGGATAATCAGAATTTTGGTTCCTTGTCCCACAAGCATGGACAGTCAGACAGTTGAGGGTTTGTACCAGGCTTGTACTCCCAAAAGGTTGGGGTTGGAGAAGAAATCACCTGCTTTAGGTCTGGTAACTGCAAACTTCAATGGGGGCGGTCACATGAATGATGCTAAACTTGAGAGGCGTGCCCACCTAGAAGGGCAGTAGCTGCTGCTCACTCCAGCCACAGGCCTACCTAGCCTTGCCAGAACTTCTGGTATGTCAAGAGGGTCAGAGAGATCCAGATTCTTACTTGAAACCACTCAGTTATTAAATGTTGGCAACCAATCAGGTCTCTATAAAACAGTGTGCAAGCCAAGTAAAACATACCTGTGGGCCTGATAGGGCCTGCAGCTGCCAGTGTATCACTGCTAATGTATTTCTCCTGTCTTGTTTTACAATGAAATTCAGTGAGAATGAGGCGAAGTGGTCTGGTTGGTGGCAGAGTTAGAGTGAGAGGTCTCCTAATTCCTGGCCTGGGAACCCCTATCCTGGGCTTCAGTGCCCCAGCATCAGAGTAAGGAAGAGTCATGGTGTGTACATTTTAAAATTGCTGTTGTACAAATGCCCACAAATGTAGCAGCTTAAACAACATTAATTTACTACCTCAAAGGCTGATGTTAAGGTGTCAGCAGGGCTGCATTTCTTTTTGGAGGCCCCAGGGAAGCATCTTTTGCCAGGGACATTTAGGTTTTGTGAGGTCCTTGTGGTTGCAGGATTGAGGTGCCTGTTCTCTTGCTGGCTGGCTGCTGGAGGTTGTTCTCAGTTTCCAGAGGCTGTCCACATTCTTTGGCTTGTGGCCCCCTCTTCCTCCATCTTCAAAGCCAGTAATAGCGAGTTGAGTCCTTCTCATATTTCAGATCCTTCAGTGCAGGCACATTTGGGGGGAATATTATTTGCCTACTATGCATAGTATGAAATATTTCTGCAGGATCAGATGTTAATTTCATTCTGTGTAGAATAAATGAATGTTTATAAACAGTGTGCTCTTTCTGGGAGGGGGGATGGGTGGAGGGAAGTTACTTGGGGACTACTTGTGACCTGCACTTTCAGACTTGGCCAATAATTTGTCCTCCTGGGGAAGGTCACAGGCTGCTGCAGGGCAGGGGCCATCCTCAAGGGCAGAAAGGGCTCTGGGGGACCAGGCAAACCCTACCCTCAGGCTTCCCCCTTAGTCTCTTTCCTCCTTCCTGAATGGCAGGTGTGCTTCCTGGAGCAGCAGAACAAATTGCTGGAGACCAAGCTGCTGTTCTACTAGAACTGCGAGTGCTGCGAGAGCAACCTGGAGCCCCTGTTCCACGGCTACATTGCGACTCTGCAGCGGGAGGCCGAGTGCGTGGAGGCTGACAGCGGCAGGCTGGCCTCAGAGCTCAACTGCATGCAGGAGGCTCTGGAGGGCTGCAAGAAGAAGTGAGCATGACAGGGCTGGGATGGTTCTAGGTAGTGGAGTCGGTCTTAGCTGAGATCACACAACTCCTCCAGAAGCCGAGATTGCTGAAGGCCAGTGTTGTCCTGACGAGCTATCAGACACTTCTGCTTTACCCATCTGCTTTGTCTCATGTCAGCTCCTAGCTCTTGCAGCCCTGTGCTGGGGGCTGGGAAAATATTTATAGAGAAGAAAAGTTCCCAGTCTGGGAGGGATGGGACACACATCAGTGCACAGACTGATGCAGATGAAGAGACAGGAACAAATGAAACAGGAGGAGCAAGGCCAGCAGGGCTGGAGAGGAGGAGCCCGGAGCAGTCAGAGCTAGGACGGGGAAAAAGTGAAAGGCTCTGGAGAGATGTCTGAAAATGAACTGGCTGAAGCCATTCCAAGTATCTGATGAACTTGGACTCTTCCTTTATTTATTCTGCAGATAAACCATCAGGTTCTTGTTCTGCAAGGCTCCACAATTCAAATACCAATATAAATCTGGGTTTTCCTGAGTTGTTTGGCTGGTCCATTACCTAGTCTAAACTCACTGGATCACTGTACTTACCTTGTAGATACAGACAGAGTGAAGGGTGATTTTGACCTCAATCAATCCTGGTAATTCTAACCCTCCTTGGGATTCTTGGAAGTTCAGGTTTTACCATCTGGCTGGACCCAGCAGTGGGTCCTCACCTCCTTTGGGGTGAAGCAAATGTAGACACAGTCCTCAGTGTGCAGGCATCAAAGTCTGTCTCCCACTCTGGTGGAGTGCGGGCTGGTAATTATAGAGCTGAGTGCTTACTGTAGCCCCAAATGACTGTGTAATTCAAAAGTTATGAGAACAGGCCGGGTGCAGTGGCTCACGCCTGTAATCCCAGCACTTTGGAAGGCCGAGGTAGGTGGATCACCTGAGGTCAGGAGTTCAAGACCAGCCCGGCCAACGTGATGAAACCCTGTCTCTACTAATAATACAAAAAAAATTTAGCTGGGTGTGGTGGTGGATGCCTGTAATCCCAGCTACTTGGGAGGCTGAGGCAGGAGAATCGCTTGAACCCGGGAGTTAGTGGTTGCAGTGAGCTGAGATTGTGCCATTGCACTCCAGCCTGGGCAACAAGAGTGAAACTCCGTTTCAAAAAAAAAAAAAAAAAAAGTTATGAAAACCATGCTCTGGGAACTCTGGTCTTCCTTGTGGGGGCAGGGCTGCTCCGGGGCTGTAGTCTCACACAGAGAAAGAGGGCTGGGCTGGTGGAGGAGGGTGGGGGAATGGCTTGAACAAGAAGTTGCTTCTAGGAATTCAAGTCCTTGGATATTGGGGCAGAGGGAATAAAACCTCATGCGGGTGGCTTCATAGAGCTCTATGTTTTGTACAGTGTAGAATTTAAATATCGGTCTGTTTTTAAATAATTCCACAAATGTTCACTGAGTGCCTCACTGCACCTCAGGTGATTTAGACCAAGATACAAAGAGATTAAATGACTTGCCTCGGGTTTTGCAGCAACTTCAGTTAAGCTGGGACCAGATACCAGGGACCTGGACTTCAAGTCCAGTGTCCTTCCAGTGGGTTCTTTGTGGCTAGGAAATGGAAGTCCAGAGAGGCCAAGCCTCTTATGCAAAGGCACAGAGAAAGGAGAAAACCAGGGAGTTTGGCACACCTGGGCTCTGGCCTGGCCAGGTCCTCAGTCCCAGGGGCCTTTCCACCTGGCTTGTCTCTCCTCAGGTATGAAGAAGAGCTGGTCCTCAGGGCCACAGCTGAGAACAAGTTCATGATGCTGAAGAAGGTGAGTGACTGTTCTCACATGGGAAGAATTAAATCCTGGACACTGGACGCTCTGATGCTGTGGGCCCTGTCAGGTTCCCATCAGCCCAATTGTTGGTGGTAAGGCACTGGAGCCCCTGGCACAAGAAGGTGGGTTAGTTTGGCCGCAGAAGCCATCGTGGAGCCCATGCAGGAATCCAGACGGTGCCAATGGCGGCTTCATAAAAATAAAACTTCACCACGCTCCTGCTTGGCTTTTTTTAAACTACCGGATTGGCTGAAATGTTCAATTTTAATTCTGTGTTGCTCTCTTGCAGGCATTGCCTCCCCCTGTTATCCCAGAGTAGGGGTTGGTTCTCGGCTTGTTAATGATTTAAAAGTGTGGCCATCATTCAGCGCAATTGGTGATGATGGAAAAGCCCAGAGAAATAAAACTGTGAATGATTTCCCTTTTGTTTCATGTTGCTGAGTGAAAGTGCATGTGAATGTTCTTTAACAAGCAATTGCTTGCTTGCCAGCCTCCTTATTTGTAAATATCATAGAGTGGAGAGGGGGCTGGTGACAGATCTGCCAATAAAGGCTTGGCCTTGGTCCCAGGCAGGAGACTCAGCTATTTGAGTGCTGGGTGTTTCCTGACCTGGGCTCTGAGGACAATCTACAGAGAGGCTCTGTGATTGTCACAGGCTTGTGCTCTGTGGGTCAGTCTGGCTGGGAGGCAGCAGCCTGATGTTCTGGGCCGTGGCATCAGGCTTCCTTCTTTGGCAAGGTCCTCAGCTCTGGAAGGGGTCAGACCTCTTTCCACTTCGTTTCCACAGGTGGTCTCTTTTATGCAATGGGAGGTAATGTCATTGGCAGATAACAAAGGATCTGTCCCTTCTAGGGGGTCCTTGAAGGTGAAGATGAGAAGGCTAGGTTAGACTTGTAAGTGCAGAGTGGCTGCGCAGGGGCAGGCCAGAGGCAGAGAGGTGGGCCAGGAGGTGGTCTCAGGGCCCACTGAGGAGTGCCGAGGCTCAGGGGTACAGCAAGGAGGACAAAGGTCACTTCCCATCCTCTCGTGTCTGTCTCCACCAGGAGGTAGACTGCGCCTGTCTGCACAAGGCGGACCTGGAGGCCAACGTGGAGCCGCTGAGGGAGGAGCCAGTCTTCCTGCAGTCCCTCTACGAGGAGGTAAATCTCTCCCCATCTCTGGAAGAGCAAGTGAGAGAGGCGGCAGGGGAGGGTTTCCTTTGAGTGTGGCCGGTCCTGGTTCCTGGGTTCTAGGGAAAACTGTACATTCTTGACTTTCCTAGGCTCGGATATTTTTCCTTCTGTGACCAGAGGGGATTTTTATCTTGTTTGGGTGGAAGTGGGTGATGCCCTTCCTTTAAGATGATTTGAAAGAATGTGGTTAATTCCCACGTCGTGAAGTGGAGATCTGACACTTAATTTGTTAATTCAGGTAATGTAAAAACCCAAGCAGATAATCCAGGCCTCTACCTCTGGCCACGATCTGGCTGATTAGATTTGCGCACAGAGCTACAGCTGATCTGGATTATTCAGGCCCCAAGGCGGGGTGGCCTAGGGTGGTGGCATGCACATAAATCCAGCCCCGTTGATCCCTGTATTAGTAGAATTCCACGTTACATCGCTTCGAGGCCACGGTCCCAATTCCAGCCTTCTACTCTTAGAACTACAGTTTTAAAATTTTCCTGACTTGCTGGTAGTTTTCTAATTTCAGAGTTGGGACTTTATTTATTTATTTTTTTAATTTCCTGAGGAGATAGGATCAGAAGGGGATTTGGAGTTGAGGGCACTGGTTGCTGTCTCCTACAGGAAATCCACCTCCTTCAATCACAAATCTCTGACACGTCTGTGGTGGTGAAGATGGACAATAGCCGGGAGCTCAGCATGGACTTGGCTGTGGCCGAGATCAAGGCTCAGTACGATGATATTGCCAGTCGCAGCCGGGCGGAGGCCGAGACCTGGTACCAAACCAAGGTAGTCTGGAGGGCAGGACTGCCCCACTGAGACAGGAGGAGAGCTGTGAGCCTCGAGTTTCTCTGGGAAACCCACTCTGCCCTCTAGAGGGGCTGCCACTGAGGTTCCGGGTAGAGCAGGGCCAGAAGGCAGGAGAGCTGCGGAACAGCAGGCTGGCTGATTGGGTCGGGAACAGCAGCCTCTAGCCATTGTTTCTGCGTGTTTGCCTCTCAACCCACAGTGCGAGGAGGTGAAGGCCACAGTCACCCAGCAGGATGAGAACCTCTGCAGAACCAAGGATGAGCTCAACGAGCTGAACCGCATGATCCAGAGGCTGACAGCAGAGGTGGAGAACACCAAGCAGCAGGTTGGGGGGCGTCGAGACCCCACTCCGTACACCTGCCGCTTCTTGTCTGGTTCCTGCTTCCCTCCTATCTTCAGGGACTGCTATCATCTTTGGAGAGGTGTGTATTTGAACTGTGCCAGAGTACACTACTATAATCAGCATGCAAGAGCTCCTGTTCCAACACCTGCTATTACCAAACTTCCAAATTCTTGTGGATCTGATAGGTGTAAACTGGCACCTAATTGTTATTCTAATTTTCATTTCTTTGGTTAACTAGTGATAGGAAATCTTTCTATCACTTACTAGTTATTTGTATTCCCCTTCTAAGAACTGTCTACTCATATATCTGCCCATTTTTCTATTGTGGCTCCTTTCTTTTTTCTTGGTGATTTGCAGTTTCCTTTGTCCATTCTATCTGGATTGTAAGCCTTTGTCAGTACACATGCTGCAATTAACTTTCCCTCAGTCTATCACTTGTCTGTTTGTCCTTTGTTGAACCCAAATCTTTAACCTGGATGTGCCCAAATCCATTTTAAGTTCTTCCTCTAATGGTTTAGACTTAGAAGGTTTTGAGGTAATAGAGGTAGTCTCTTAAATTTCTCCCCCGTATTAGTTTTATAGTTTTACCTCTGGCATTTAGGTCTGTGATCCATCTGAACTTTATTTTATTTTATTTTTGTATACACAGTGAGTAGGGTTCTAAATTAACTTTTCTACGTATTGTAAGAAAATAGATTATGTAATCCATCCTTTCACCAGTGATTTGTAATACTACCTCCAGCATAACACTGAGCTCCCACGCATGGCTGGCTCAGTCTCTGTCTTCTGCCTTCTAAGTTGCTGTTCTTCATCACTGGACAGGATGTATCACTAGTAATTTGTTGTGGTTAAGAGCTGAGTAGTGAAATATGTGAATGGTTTATTTTTTTAAATGTGAAATTGGAGAAGATTCGAAGTTGTCCCCGTAATAATAATGATTTTGTTCATTTGATTCTGATATGCTTTCTTAAGTGGGGTGAAGGGAGGGGCTGTAGTTAGCGTGTTGGGAGTTGTTGCACATGGGAGCTTCTTTCAGCAAGATGATCTCAGCAGGCCAAAGAGTGAGACCCTGCACAGTGGCCTTTGAATACCTGAGCTTGGTGCCAATTAATTGCATAGCTTAGGGCAAGTCACAGCCTTTTGGAGTCTTAATTTCTTCATTTGCATAATGGGAATAATAATACCTGTTGTGGCAAGCTTGCAGATTAACTTTGAAGGTCAAATAAGATAACATCTACAACGGTATATACAAGTATAATGTAATATCACTAATAATGATCATTCCTATTTCAGTGCTAACATTTCCTCCCTCTAATGGCTCACCTGCCAAACTCAAGTCAGTTTTATGATACAGTGTACAAAAATGAAGGAAAAAAAAATCCAGAGGGGCCATGTCACTGCCTAGTTAATTTTCCATTGATGTATTTCTTTTAAACAGTATTAAGTTCAAAAGTTAACCATTTTGAATGGAGATAAAATAGGATGACCAAGGCCACTTGAGACCCACCAGAGTCCCCACAACCTGCACCCTTTTCAAACTCCTTCCCTTCTGTCCATCCCCACAGCACTGCAAGCTGGAGGCCACGGTGGCCCAGTCTGAGCAGCAGGGTGAGGCAGCCCTCAGCAATGCCTGCTGCAAGCTGGCTGAGCTGGAGGGCACCCTGCAGAAGGCCAAGCAGGACATGGCCTGCCTGCTCAAGGAGTACCAGGAGGTGATGAACTCCAAGCTGGGCCTGGACATGGAGATCGCCACTTATCGCAAACTGCTGGAGGGCGAGGGGATTCTGTGAGGACAGGGACTCCAGGGTCCCTTCACGTCCCTACTCAGAGCTGGACTGAAATCCTCCAGGAAGAGAATGTTCAAACTGGGAAAGACTCTAGAAATCATGGACTCCAACCATATCCCCACTTTGCAGATAGGGAAACTGACACCAGACAGGGGAAGGGGTTTGCCTAAGAGCACAGCCAGTTAATGGCTCAGCTAAAATGTACCGGTCTCTGGGCTGGCCACCGATGCTCTTCTCCCTCCTGCACGGCCCCCCAGGCTGGAACCTGAAGCTCATTCCAAGGCCACTACTTTACCCTCTTGGCTGAAAGGATGTTTCTGTAATCGGCTTCCATGGGTTCTTAAAGCTGGAATCATTCAGAAAATTAGTTAAAGGTCATTTGATTTGGAATGTGGAAAGAATCCTATCAGCCTAGATAGCCTGGTGTTCAGGACCAGAGAATAGAAATGAGCAGCACAAGTTCTGTCCTTGCAAAGGAAGACAAGACAGACATACATCAGTCCTCCAGGGCCTGGGGTTAGTGGCCCAGGGAAGCTGTCGGAGAAGGAGGCTTCCTTCTCAACAGCTGAGGAGAAGCTGTGCTAATTTGAGCCAAGAGTTGAGGGCAGGTGAAGCCAGTGTAGGGCAGAGTGATGTGTATTTACACCTGGGATGGTTGCGTGGGCCTCTGGACTTGGGACTGCCACATCATTAGAGCTTCTAGCTGGGTCCCTTCAGGGCGGGGAGGATAGACTGGGTAGTAGAGTACAGAGGTGGAGAGCACAGGCCATGAGCTCACTCTGGGTTCAAATCCCAGTTCCACCACTTACTAGTATGTGACCTCTTTATACCTCAGTGTCTTCAGCTGTAAAACAGAGATAATCACAAAATCCACCTCATAAGGCTGTTGTAGGATTAAGTGAGTTTTAATGGAACATAGCAAGCCCCAGTGGGAGGAGGTGATTGTCAAGAGATGATGGTCAGGCCAGGCTGCCCCCGTGGAGAGGGAACTCATAGGCCTGGTCGGAGAAACCTTCCGTGAAGCGGCACTGAGGGCAGCCTGGCCACACTGCTGGACTCGCTCCATGCTTGACTCAAGCACACGCACTTTTCTGTCAGCTTCCTCGGGGCTCTGGGTGAAGTCACAGGAGTTCTCTCTGCATTCGGACACTTAAGGCCCCAACCCACTCACTAGCATTCAGTGAGCAGCTGGCACTTGCACTGATTTTCATTATGATACTAATAATGAACAGATTAATATATCAGAATTATTAGCACACATCCCCAATGCATGTGATTTTAAAGTTGATTTAGCATATTGTGCTATGTGTACTGTGGCCATTGACCTTTTAAGAGACTGCCTCCTCTTGGCATTTAAAACACTTAATTTAATTACATTAAGTAATGCTCATTGCTGCTAACACAGAAAATAAGAAAACAAAAGCATCCAGAGCCACTCAACTCAGAGATAGCTGTCGCCAGCATTGTGGTTCGACAGGCACCACCACGGGCACTGTGGGTTCCTTGAAAGGGCACAGTCCTAAGGCTGTGGCAATGCCAGACTGAGTGGCAGGAAACTGAGCCAGATGCATACATCTTCACTCAAAAGATGAGTGAAGAAGTGTTTTGAGCTGGGCAGAATGAGGCAGGGTAGAGCTTTCCTGGGGAAAAAGGTTTGAAGTGGGAAGCTACAAAAAGGGAGACAGAACAGAAAGTACAGAGGTGTGAGGGAGGAGGGAGTGTTTATAAAAAGCTCACTGCAGTGGCATAAATGTCTCATCATAAATGATATAGACATATTTTTTGAGACAGAGTCTCACTCTGTCGCCCAGGCTGGAGTGCAGTGGTGCAACCTTGGCTCACTGCAACCTCCTCCTCCTGGATTCGAGTGATTCTCCTGCCTCAGCCTCCCAAGTAGCTGAGACTACAAGTACCTGCCACCATGCCCGGCTAATTTTTGTATTTTTAGTAGAAGCAGTGTTTCGCTATGTTGGCCAGGCTAGTCTTGAATTCCTGGGCTCAAGTGATCCACCTGCCTCCGTCTCCCAAGGTGCTGGGATTACAGAAATGAAATGTTTATAATGTTGGTAGCAAACATATTGGATTTCCTTACTATGTGCCAGTCTGCATTTTAGGCACTTTCCATGTGGAACTCAATCAGACTTTACAATAATCCTTTCAGACGGATATTATCATCCCCATTTTATGCTGGGGAAATTGAGGCACAGAAAGGTTAAGCGACCTGCCCAAGGTCACCCAGTTAGTAAGCGGCACAGCCAGATTTAAGTCCAGGTAGCCTGGCTTGAGAGTCCAGGCTCTTAACCATACCATACTCTTCTTCAGCCTCCTCCTGCATTGAATGAAATCAGGTAGATGTCTGGGGTGTCATTTAATATCCTGGGATAAAAATGAATCTGTTTGTGTAATAGGCAAGCTTTTTCCTGCTCAGAGACATCTAACTAGGTAGCAGCAGCTTCCATCACCACTTTGGCTTTGCTGGCATTTCCAGCCAAGGGACCAGGAGGATGCCCCCCTCATCTCTACTTCTCAGTTCACCAAATTCCATGGCCAAAAGCCAAACATGGCATAAACTGGCCTTTTGGATCCTGAAACCTAATATACTCCTGTCCTTTGGGGATCCCAGCAAGCAGGACCAACACTGATGCTGTCTGCAGCAGGTGGGTAGCCTACCCCTGCCTCTTAGGGCCCCTCCCCTCCTTCAGCATGGAGGAGAATAGGTTTGGTGCAAAAGCAGAGGAACTCAGCACTAACTGTACACTCTCTCCTCTCCCTGCAGGCTGTGTGAAGGCATGCACTCAGTCAATATCTGTAAGTTGGGTGTGTGTGGGCATGGCTCTCTGGGGTGTCAGTAATCTTAGTATTAGATTGCATCTAACTGATGACCAAGCCTCTGTCTATGGAGTGATAGACAAGGGACTCCTGAGCTGATGTCTCTGGGATCCAGACAAACGGATGACCTCAAATATTTGACCATACATGGATCCATCTGGAACATCCATGAAATCTAAGTTAATGAATGGGGCAAATTCTGAACCCCTATTTGGTTCTGCAAAAGTAGCAAGCCTTTTTGTTACACACAGAATACTACTCAATCATGGTCTAGTAAGAAAAAAATGTTAGGTTTATATTCTGATCATGTGGGTCTTTGCAGGCAACTTGTAAATCTCTATCTAGTAATCCAATGTACACACAGCCCCTGGGCCAGGTGTCTGATTCCCATCCTTCCATTCCCCTCACCTCTCTAGCAATCATATTTCTAGATGACTCCTCTACTGTGATCTATCAGTTTTTGCTCAAAGATTGTGTGAACACCTCTCAACATCAGCCTGGTCCAAGTAGAGTTCGGTGTGCAATTTGCTAACCACACTCCTGAAGAAGCAGATGGCAATGGGTTCAGGTTTGCCTGTAGTTTAAAAAGACTCATGTTGCTGGTCCCTCAGAGAAGGAAGAGAATTAATCATTGGTTCTAAAGGATTCTGGGTCATAACGTGTCTGAGATGGAAGAGAATTCTGACCTGTGTCTCTGTCCGCAGGTGTGAGCCGTTCCCAGGGTGGTGTGGTCTGCGGGGACCTGGACTCCGCTGCCTCCCTTCGCTCAGAGGGTGTGGCCATCAGCAGTGGTGCACTGTGTTCCCCCTCTGTGGTGGGGGCCTGCTCCGGTGCCCGATCTGTGCGGTTTGTGTAGAGGGGATGGGACTGTGGACTGACATGTTCTGATGGGGGCAGTGTGGGTTGGGGAGTGGAAATCTTTTCTCCTGCATGCCCAAATGTCAGTTCAGCAATTTCTCCTTACAGAGAACCCAGAACTAACTCTCCTGTTTCCTTCTTATTGGAGTTAGCGATTTACTCTTTGGGTGTAAACCCTGGGTTTGACGTTATTTTCACTTCCATTTCTTCTCCCCCTCCCTGTGGTCCAGGAAAGAAACAGAAAGGTTTTTTTGATATAAATTGTTCAGTCATTGTCTTCCCCAATTAACTTCGGCTAACAGATGTTTGTTAAGTCCTGAGTGTGCCAGATCCTCTTGGAAAAGAGCCAGTTAGAGTGTGTGGAAACATCTCTGTGCTTTGCCCTCGGATGAGAGGGGCTCCAGATGCTGCCTCAGCATGGAGGGGCTGTGGGGGTGTGGAGCTGGGCTCCTCACTGGCTCTGAGAGATTGTATATCCCCAGAGTTCCCCAACTATTCATATGTCCAGATTGAAAGACTGACGGAGGCTAATCAGCTGGGTTTATACTGTTGGTTGCCTGGAAGTTCACTGTATTTGCATGATTCCTGTATGGCTCCTTCTTTCTTTCGGTGTGCTTGATTAAATATCAATGGCAAAAGACTTTTTCTTAGGTACCAAATTAATGCCTGCCTCCTTCATTGTCTTTCCAACCCACTCAAAGCCCTGACTGTCTTGGTGCATCTCACAATGTGGTCCACGGACCACCACCTGCATCAGAATCCCCGTGGGGTAGTTGCTAAATGTGCAGATCCTGGGCTCCATCTGGAACTCTCAATCAAAAGTTCTAGAGATGAACCCAGGAATCTGTATTTTAACAAACTTCCAGGTGATTCCTAGAAGAACTAAAGCTTGAGAACCACAGGTTTATGTTGGTAGAGGGAAGAGGAGGGTCAAATAATTCTGGCCATGGAGGTAACTGTCCCTCTGATTCTCACTGGATCGGTCTAGCCCCTTTGCATTTCTCCTTTGTCTATGCTAGAAGGTCAGAGCCACAGTCTGGGCCACACACACACCAGGGCAGGTTGGGGGCAAAGGTACAAAAGGGGTGAGGAAGGGAGCCTGTATTTGTTAAACACCTGCTAAGTGTCTGACACGTTATATATGTATTTCATTAATTTCTCACAGCAACGAGAATATTATCCTCATTTTACATATAAATAAATTAAGGCTCAAAGAAGTAGCTTTACTAAGTTACCCAGCTAGTCCAGAATTCCAACTCAGGTCTGGGGAATGCCACTGCTCATAAATGTTTCCACAGCATTTCCCTAATTGCTCCTCAGGCTAAAAATTCCAGCTCATCAGATGCTCCTGGAGG